AAGGAACTGAAGGGACTGTTGCCGCACATGCGTGGCAGCGACACCATGCGTGCCGCCTGTCCCATTTGTGCGGCTCACCAGAAGGCACTGCTACTGTAAATCTCCAAGTAGGCGCGCAGTGGCACCTCAAGATAAAGGTGGAGCACCCACCGGGATACTCCTCGAAGAAGTCAGCACTATACAATCTCAATAAACAAATAGTAAAAATCCATAGAAAACCATTGTCAAATGGGGGATATTTTTAGTGGTACTAACCTCAATGTTATTTACTATTTTTGTTAGTGATCATCACATAAATTTAAAATCACTGTTGATTAAATTTACAGATGACGCAAAGCGTGATGAAGTGGTCATGCTAAGCAATTTGGATTGCGTGGGAATCTGCTTTTATTGAAACAAAATGTGTTTTAATACACGCAAAAGTAAGATCATATGTCTGGATGCAATGAATGTTGACCATTTCTATAAAATAGTGGACTGTGTCATGTTAAGTAACTTAGTATCTATGGAAGATAGCCACAAAGCATCCTTAAGAACTGCGTGCAAGCCGTGGCATAGTGTATAGGCCTGGGATGAGACGGTGTGTCAGAGATAGGGTCATAGCACTGCAGAGATTCTTGCCCTATGAGGTGGCTTAACTTAGAGAAGTCCTCAGAGGTATCTAAATTACAGTATCTTCAGCCCCAGAAACAACCCAGAACTGGTGGAAGGGGGCTGCAAAGGTGTGGCTTAGTTAAAGCCACCTCATTCTCTCTCCCTCTGACTGAATTCTGCACTGCACCTCTAAAGGGCACAGCATAGAATTCCACTCGAACCATGCTAATAAAATTTCACTCTTCCTTTCTTGAAGATTTTCTCTTCATGTTCTAGTTACTCCTAGAAACACTGGCATCACTTTACCCTATCATTCTATTCCTACAGAAGAAATAGAAATGATGGGAACTTAGCAATACTTTCTCAGGTGCAATGTGGTTTGAATAATTGCGTCCTAGCTTGTTGATCCATCATGTTGGCTTTAGCATTGATTTCCCCCCCCTAGCACTATTCATCAGCATCTGTTCTTCCTTTTCCTGCATGCATGTTCCTCCTGGTATTGTAGATTCATAGATTTCAAGGCCAGAAGGGACCAATGTGATCATCTAATCTGACTTCCTATATAACAGAGGTCACAAAGCATCTCCAAAAATTCCTAGAGGAGATGGTTCAGAAAAATATCCAATCTTGATTTAAAAATAGCCAGTGATGGAAAACCCAAGATGTTCTAATAGTGAATTACCATCATTGTTAAAAAGATGACATCTTATTTGCAGTCTGAATGTATCTAGCTTTAACTTAGGAATTGATTGTGTTAAATCTTTGCCTTCTGGATTGAAGAGCTCTGTAGTAAGGAGTGATCCACCCAGTGGGGCAAACTCCACCCATTGATATAGAGTCTACACTCAGAGACAGAGATTCTATTCTGCTTCACGAGTGAGGGGGTGGGGTGCCCCTGGGGTTGTGTATGGACTATAGTTTAATCACTTCCTCACTTGTATCCGGGACAAGGTGGGTTATGTCGATTGCTTGTAAGCCACCTACAGTTCTTGTTACTGCTGTAACCCACTCTTCCGCTGCGGATTGCTTATGTTTATTTTGTACAACTTGTTTGGCTTTCGCACAATAAAACTCTTCTATTACATTCCTAGTCCCCATGTATTAGTAAAAACTCAGAGGGGTGAACACCTTAGAATGGAAGTTGTTTGTGACTCTGAATAACACATGGCACTTTCAAAAGCTTAAAACTGAACATTGACTTTTAATACAACTTTGAAAGTTTGGTATGCAGAAGAAAAATGCTGGTTTTAAGCACCTTATTATATAAACTCTTTCATCAGCCTGTTCATTTACAAGCTGACCTCCTGAGATTGATAAGTAAAAATGGCAAAATACTATGACCCTTTCACAAGCCAATCCTGTATTTCAGGGATTGGCAAACTTTGGTTCCTGGCCCATCAGGATAAGCTGCTGGCATGCTGGGATGTTTTATTTACCTGAAGCATCTGCTGGCAGGGAGCTCATCGGTTAACTGTCTGGAAATGGAGATGGATCATGTGAGGATTACCTGTTGTGTTCCTTCCCTCTGGGGTATTGGCCACTGTGAGCAGATACTGGGCTAGCTGGATCTTTGGTCTGACCCAGTATGGTTGTTCTTATGTTTTTAATTGTTTACACTATCACATCATGAATACCAAAAACAGTGCTGTAAAGCTGTATGAAATTTGACCCATTCATTTTACAAAATGCTGTATCTTACAAGTCAATTACAAAATATGGCACTAGTGTCAGTCTGCTACAGTGTAATTTTGATCTCTTCATGCATGTTGACCACTAGACGTCCTAAGTCTCGAGCCAATCTGAAAATATAATGTGCAGAACTGATGGAATCTATAAAAAAATTTAAATAGCCTATTATTGCCACAGGCATGCTAATCTACAGGGCTGCTTCAGAATTAACAAAGCATGATTATAATTTGACTGTGATTAAGCAGGTGACATTCCCATGTAAAATCTTTAACAAAATTATTTTCTAAGATAGTCATTTATAGTATTTAAAATGAACAATATTGAAATAACACAAAGAGTAGGGATCACCGAATGAAATTACAATAGGAAGTAGGTTTAAAATAAACAAAAGGAAGTACTTCACAAAACACAGCACAGTCAACCTGTGGAGCTCCTTGCCAGAGGATGTTGTGAGGTACAAAACTATAACATGGTTGAAAAAAAAGCTAAGTACATTGATGAAGGTTAGGTCCATTAATGGCTATTAGCCAGCATAGGTAGGAATGGTGTCCCTAGTCACTGTTTGTCAGAAATTGAGAATGGGTATCAGGGGATGGATCACTTGATTACCTGTTGTATTCATTCCCTCTGGAGCATCTGGTATTGGCCACTGTCAGAAGACATTATACTGTGCTAGATGGACCTTTGGACTGACCCAGTGTGGCTGTTGTTGTGATTGCCTAGGAAGTAGCATTACAGAAAACACTCCCAAGCAACTGGTGATCTTCTACCCTGCCTGAAGTGATTCCAGGTAGCCTTTCTTGCACAAGACCGTCCACACAGTGTGGATCTTTTCTCTTGTGCAAAAGCACACGCAGGCTGTGTCTACATTGGCAAGATGCAGTCACTTTTGCACAAAAACTTGCCGCCTGTCTACACTGGCTGTGAGTTCTTCCGCAAGAACACTAACGTTCTAATGTAAGAAATCAGCGCTTCTTGCGCAAGAACTGTGACGCTCCCGCTCAGGAATAAGCCCTCTTGCACAAGTGTTCTTGCGCAAGAGGCCAGTGTAGACAGGCATGAATTGCTTGCACAAGAAAGCCCGCTGGCTAAAATGGCCATTGGAGCTTTCTTGCGCAAGCGAGCATCTACACTGGCATGGATGCTTTTGGGCAAAAGCACATCTCTTGCACAAAGGCACATGCCAGTGTAGACGCTCTCCTGGGCAAATACTTTAACGCAAAAACTCTTGCGCTAAGGGTATTTGCGCAAAGTCTTGCCAATGCAGATGTAGGCGCGGTGCGGCCGTTCTCTTGCGCAACAAGCCTGCAGGGCAGAGTAGTGAGCCAGGTCTGGGTGCCAGGGTGGGGCAGCTGCCCCAGCAGGCCTGCCCCCCATAGCTACTGCCACGCCCCCTGGCGAGAGGCGTGTCCATTGGTTCGGGGCCTCCCACGTGCTCCTGGCCCTGCCGGCTCCCCAGGCCACGGCGCCTTTAAGCGGCCGAGTGCTCACCTTGCCTGCCCCACTAGGTACCAGCCCCGAGCCGAGCTGACTCCTGATTGGGCCGCCGCTGGGCTCGGTCACGTGGGGGCTGCTCTCTCCC